AGGCGAGGCGTCCTGAAAATAACTAGGTGTCAGCAGGATCCATTTTGCCTACCGTTTATCGTGCATCTGAATCTGGGTCCCCACAGGGCTTTTAGTACCGCTTTCCTGCCTTTTGATTTCCACTAAGTTCCTCCAGTGGAAAATCTTTCCATGTGCAGTGTTCTCTCCTGGAGCTGAAAGAACCAGGATAATCCCAGATGCTTCCCTGCCGCTGAGCTCATGTCACAAATCAGGCATGATTCTCAGCAGATATTTCTTTAAAAGTTTGAAGGCCTCTGTGGACTCTAGTCCCTTCTCAATGGGAACAAGCATCAAAGAGACAGGAATAAAATGCTTTGCACGCACATCAGGAACTAATTGCCAATTTGGCAAATACATTGACTAATGTCATGCACCGTTATTTCTAAATCCTCTCCTGTCCTTGACCCCAGTATCTAGATGTAAACTTGGAACCATTAGTGGAGAAGGATAAAGGCTTCTGGTGCCTCCAATGGAATTGAGAGGGATTTAAATTCAGTGCTCTTGAGTGTGGTGAAATGAACCCAGCGGTACATTAACGCTAGGATTTGAGCTCACACAGCATGAGCGCTTTCAAAAACCATGTTTAAGGAAGCAAACAGAGCCATGACAGACTCTTTCAGCGGAGCAAAAGGAGTTGGATGAAACAATCAATGACACATTAAAAACCACAACTGGGCTGCAACCATGTGGGCAAAAAAAAAAGTTTTTCTTTATCATAGGATCTTTGCATCTAATGAGATGGTGACTGGACAACCTCCAGAGGAGGACGGTCTCCGTTTACTTTAGCTGAGAAATGTCTAAATATTTAGCTGATTCTCTTAAAAGCCTTACACGATTCTGTAGCAAACTGGTCTCTAAGGTATGATCTTATTAGCTCTATATTGCCACTGGAAAATCTATATAAAGGGAGTTTGGAAAAGAAGTCAGAGGATATTACCATTGAAAGTAAAAATGCTAAAAGTTTTTTATCTTAAATTAACTATTTTTAATGTCCTCCGAATACTTAGTTTAGGACCAACACCGTGCCAGTTAATACTTTCTCTTAATTGATTCTAGGTGGTTCTCTACTTTTTATATATGCTTTATTCCATTGGTTCCAGTTGGACCTGAAGTGCTTGAGGCTCAAAAGGACTCCTGTGTGCGTTTTCTTGGGGGCGGAGGGGAAGCCAAGAGGGCTGAGGGAACTTTATAAAAATGTCTCCAGGGGTCTACCCTTTAAAGTCACACTATGGTCTGGTATTAGCAGATTTTAGCCAAGACCAATATCCAGTTTGCTGCAAGCTTCTGGGCTCCTGTGTGCCACAGATCCAGGGCACCGCAGATATGGCGTCAGTTGGGCCTTTCACCTTTTTAGACTCTCTGAGAGTGGAGGCCCCTCAGGCATGCCCTTCTTTATTATTGCTTCCTGCAGACTCTCCTTAGGGATCGCCCAAACGTCCCCTCCCCCACTGCAGGCGGCCAGCGCAGCCCCAGTTCCCGCCAGTTTGATTAATGTGTCTTGGCTGATTGTGTGAAGGATGGCAGGCCTTTAGCAAGTGTGACCGGTGTATTGTCCAGCCAATCACAGGCGCCTCAGTTAGCATGTGAAAACGGGGTGTGTTGCCAGGGGAGGGTGAGTGTTCTGGCGGCTAAGTCAAAGGAGCAGCATTTTGGGGGGTCACAGAGCAACACCCACTTCTTTGAGGAGATGTTACTATGCTCTGCTAACCCTGTAAACCTCTTACTCAAAGCACTTTTTTTCTCCTCCCTCTTTTTTCAAGATCTTTTTTTCCCATGGTGCGAGCAGGCAAGACACTGGCTACTCTGCAGATGGAGTTCACGTTCCAGGGTTTTTAATATTTCACTTTTATATTTCTGTTAGAGAATGATCCTGCTGAGAGTCTGGGAATCCGGGCTCGTCAGAACCCCCTCATTGACACTTGGATATATTGCTCTGAAACCTATCCCAGGAGGAAAGATTAAACAAAAAAAAAAGCCTCCTTTTCAAAGCCTACTTCTCAATCTGCCCACATCAAAATAAGACAACTGGCTCTTTGAAGTGGAGGACACAGAGTTCTCAGCCAGCTTGCTTAAAATGGGGAGGGAGAGAAGGAAGGAGGAAGGGAGGGAAGGAAGGAAGGAAGGGAGGGAGGGAGGGAGGGAGGAAGGAAGGAAAGAAGGAAGCAAGGAAGGAAGGGGGAAGGGAAGGAAGGAAGGAAGGAGGAAGGGGGAAGGGAAGGAAAGAAGGAAGGAAGGAAGACAGACCAGTATCTAAAATTACACACCTCTCTTTCTTTGCCCAGATGTAATCAGCATAATAGTCTGAATTGATGGCTAGAAAACCTACAACCCCTCTTACCAGTACCCCAAGAAAACAACTGGTCAGAGAAACCTGTCCAGCTGGGTCAGCAGCAGGTGTTTTTTTCAAACTGGTACAAACAGAGACTGTGTTGTCCTCCTAGACATGTGCCAGACCAGGTCTGGAAAGGGCAGAGTGGGCATAGATGGACACTGGGTGGTTTTCCCAAGTTCTGAGCTCTCCGGTTCCCTCAAAATTGTTGTACGGCTGAATTCGAAGTTTGGGGGCTCTACTAGTACTTAGAATGAGAAGGAAAGGAATGGAAATCTCATCCAGAATGGCGTTATCAGTTCTCTGTGACATTTTTCTGGCTCCCATCCCCTCTTCTTTTCCCTTAATCATTGGAGTTCAAGTGCATGGAAGCAGCAGCAGCAGCTCAGGGATGGGGTGGGAGAAGAGTGGCTCAAAGGGACTTCTTGATTCACATAAGGGGACGTTCCTGGAACACAGATGTGGATGACCCTGTTAAAACATAGTCCTTATGATTGAGTTGTCAATAGTACTGACTCCATGCCTAAGATACACTAGACTTTTAAGATTTACAAATACGGGGTTAGACATCTTGGCTGTGGCGAAGGTTACAACTCCCTTCCTTCCATAAGCTTAGCCTGGCCCACAGCTACACACCGCCAAGCCCATGCAAGCAGGGCTCACAAATGAGGAGAGCTGGTGAGAGAGTGTGGGTGAATGAACACAAACCCAGGCTCTTAGAGACCCAAGAACGTACCGCATCCATCTGTGCAGACCTAGCACATAACAGCGCCTGGTGGATGGTAGGTGCTCAAAATTTTTTGACTTATTTGAATTAAACTGAATCCTTACTAGAAAAACAATGCAAAGTATGAGCCCTATTGATGTTGGGTCTGGAGAATTCTCTTCACAAATAAAAAATTGCACATTACTTTGAAACGACAGCAAATTGAAAAATGCAATATATTTTTCACTGTTTTATTGGAACCCATTTATCTTATTTAGTACTGAATCTGCAGGGAAGCATTTTGGACAAGTTTCTATCATTATCGTGCTCACCAAGACATCCTGTATTACAGATCACTGTTTATTGCCTGAATCAATCAGAAACCCAAATGTTTGAAGTTTGGGAGAATAGCATATGCTCATCATGGCAGCTTTGTGTTGACATCATCCAAACTGTGTGCTACACCCATCTGTGACCCTAAACTTCTGTCTGCATCCATGTTAGGAAGCTGAGGGGTCCCATTTTCACCTGGAGAAGAGAGTAGGTAGGGAGAGGTACAGGCAGGGTAGGAAAAGATGAGACCCAGGTTCTCCTAGAAAGTGTAGCAACTGGAGATAGGACCCATTGCACACTGGACCATGGTCTCTTCAAGAAGTCTGTTCTTTTTTCTCCCTATCTCAGACCAAAGGGAAAAGGCACTATTCCAAGCCCTGTGGCCAGAGAGTGGCATTTTTGTCAGAGGCTAAACTCAAGCAAGATAGTTAGAAATGGTAAACTATTTGTAAATGACCCTAAGGCCATTTAGCAACGCATAGGATCATTCACAAAGCAGCTGAAATGACTTTCCAGTTAGTCTTTAGCTTACTGTAGGGTTTCTATAATCCTGCTCAGTTCAAGATGCATGATCCCTATATATAGCTGTTTGAGCAAAAGTATCAGATGCTGGAAAAAGAAGAAAAAAATCCCTAGCCTCCTGTGTCTTTCATTTTCCTCTTTAATTGCCTTTTTAATCTCCTACAATTTCTTGCTCTCATGAAACTCTTCCAGGGTAATCTCACACCAAAGTTAGTAATGACAACAATTTGGGGAAAATTCATTTTTAGTAATGGAACAATGTAATAATATAAAGACTGGAAAATTTGACTTGGGCCACATTCACCCTTAACTGGACATATCTACCTCCCCTTTAATCCTACCAGCAAGCGTCCAGCTTTGGTATCGCCATTCCTTGCTTCTCCAGCCTCTGATATGGCTCTTCATCCTGTAGCTCATTGCTTGTCTCCTCCCTTCTGTCTCAACATCCTTGAAGTGACTACTGGATACTCTGACCCCTCTGGCACAGCCTTGGGACCATTTCTCACAGCTTCCCCCATGGGCAACACTTCCAACTCTTCCAAATCCAACCCCAGGAGCCCGTCTTGGAGGACCAAATGTGTGACAGAAAATGACCAAGTGTTAGGTCTAGAGACAATAGATGACTCATGTGTAGTCTAGGGCCATCTTCCCTGGCCTGTCCTGGCCCTGGTGAGCCTCCACTTCCCCTCTGTTGTATTAGCTTTCCTTTTATACTTTATATACAGTAAAGGTACAATAACCTAGCAAAGAAACTCAATGGTAATCATAGGGCTCAAAATTGAAGCCATCTTTTGAGTGTTTTTTTGAGCCCTTGAGTATTTGGAAATGGATTTGGAATCTACAGAAATAGTTATTTCAAATTCTTATTCAGCTTACTACTTGTGTTTTACACAGCTAGAGAACTGATCTAACCCCAACTCTTATTTCAGTGTCCTCCTCGTAAAATGATTAGTCAGAGAATGTGTGAATTTAAAAATTTGTCTAGACCTATCTTTGCTGTTAACAATAAAAGATGGACACCCTGTTTGTGTGGCCAGTGCTCTCACATTGCTAATTCTCAGAGCGTTCAGAAGCTCAAATCAATATTACCTGGATTGTAGTTAGGTAGCTTGGAAACTCCAGGCCAAGTATCCTCCGTAGGGACTCCCAACACCTATAGAAAGACAAAGAAAGACAAACAAAGATGAGGCAGAGACAAGGTAGATGGAGCAGGTATGGACACATGAAGGACAGATCAGGGCAGAACAAGGAGGAATTAGACGTCTGTCACATTACACCAGCTGATGTATACAAGAAAGAAACTTTAGTGTTTCCAACATTTGTAGTTTCATGGACAAAACTATAGTATATTTCTATGTAGTATATTCCTGTGGTCCTGAGATGGCTAACTTTACATGTCAACTTAATGCCCAGGTAGCTGATAAAATATTACTTCTGGGTGTGTCTGTGAGAGTGTTTAGGAAGAGATTAGCATTTGAATCGGTAGACTGAGTAAAGAGATGCACCCTTCACCGTGGGCGGGCATCATTCAATCCACTGAGGGCTGAAATAGAATAAAAAGGTGGAAGAAGGGCAAATTATCTCTCTCTTTTCTTGAGCTGGGACGTCTATCTTCTCTTGCCCTCAGAGATTGGAGCTCCTGGTTCTCAGGCCTTCAAACTCTGGGACTTACACCAGCAGCCCCCTTGGTTCTCAGGCCTTCGGACTCAGACTGAATTATACCAGTGGCTTTCCTGGTTCTCCAGCTTGCAGATGGCATACCTCAGCCTCCATAATCACATGAGCCAATTCCCATATAAATCTCGTCTTACACAGTCATGTGCCGCATAACAGCCTTTTGGTCAACGACGGACTACACATACGATGGTGGTCCCATAAGATTAGTACCATACAGCCTAGGTGTGTAGTAGGCTATACCGTCTAGGTTTGTGTAAGTATGCTTCATGATGTTCACACAATGACAAAATTGCCTAACAACGCATTTCTCAGAATACGTCCCTGTCATTAAGCGATGCATGACTGTATATCTCTATATATACTTTTGGTTCTGTTTCTCTAGAGAACCGTGACAAATACAGGTCCTGAGCCTGTGTCTTCACTAACTCATTTGCTATTCTGAGGCAGATCATAGAGCCTTGCTTCAAGTCATATTCTCATCACTAAATATCTATTGCATGATTACCATACATGAGGATGCTATGTTGGGAGTTGGGGACATAAAGAGGCAGGAGTGACTGTCCTTTTGCCTTACATTAGATGACTATATATATATATATATATATATATATATATATCAACAGGAGACACTTGACAGCTGAAGTTATGCCTCAGTGTGGACATTCAGCTGTTCCCCAATGTGCTCAAATTAAAAAGGATTCGGATTACTGACGTTTAGGCAGTGGAATGTTGGCTAAAAATGATCCCAAACCTAACTCTAGTCCTTCTACCAAATTCATCTTATCTGCTTGTTTTTTCTGTGGCCCAGTAGCTTGTGGTATTTGGTTTTTGACTGGTGGATCGTAATAGTAACATCACTTGACAAAGGGCTCACTGATGCTTTGGATTACCAAATTGAAGCACTAGCTCTTAATTAATATGAAAATAAATAATCAAGAGGAATCCAGAATCGTAATATCTACCAGCATGCTGACTAGGACTCTGGCTGAGAGGTGTACTTGGTGGTGCCTGTTAAGCTTGTCCTCAAACAAAAGACACTGGAGTGCTCTTTTCCCTCATATAATAAAAAAATCATGCCACCCAGTAAACACTTCTTTCTTTGATCCATCCCCTGAATAAACTGAAAAGCTACTGAGGGGATTATGGGCTTTTCCTATCAACCACCCTGAGCCTGAGGGAACATGAAGAACCCTGGAATCCATTTTGAAAAACCGACTGGACTAATTCTTCTTTTGTGGGAGAGGGCCAGAGGATGGGAAGCTAATTCTTCTTTTTTAACCTACCATCTTATGTATTTGCACAGATGTGCATGTAAACAAGTGGCTGTGATTCACGTGTACCCATACGTCTTCTGTTGGCCAGCAAAGCACAATGAAAACACAGCAAAGATACGGAAGAGAAAGCAATAGAGGAAATAAACAATGACGAACCACCTCCATATTTTCTCTAAGGTGAAAGTTACCAGAATTGTTGGTTCCTTTGTGTTATGTTTGATTAAAGCCAACAAAATGGATACCAAAATTTTTTAAATATTATGCCATAAGCTTTAAGCTTGAGATTTTAACATTTTAAGCAAAAATTCAATATCTTTTATTTGGAAATTTGATGCTCAGTTTTTATTTGAAAGTTATTGAACTCATTTTCACTTGAGAAAATTACTAAATCTCCACTTCACTGTCTGGGAAACTGAAAACCAAAAATTGTTGATTTACTCCTTCCCTGAAGGCGCTATGTTTGAAACCACTGTGGGCTGCAGGGGCTGTTTTCTGCCTTTGTTGGAATGGAAACTGAAGGCATTTTGATTAATGGATTTAAAGTCTGCATCGTTTATTTTATTCTAATTTTAGAACCACATCCGGGATTATTTGTTAAAAGCACTTATTGAAAGAATTAGATTTGTAAAAAATTGATCAGAAAGCAGTGACAGCTATTCAGATGTGATCAAGAGTGCGCGCGCACACACACACACGTGCACACACGCACACACGGGCATTTCAGAAAGATGGCAAAATAAAGATTCAGGACTTCTCGTTATGTCTTTCCTCCTAAGAGTTAGATCCCAGGATAAATGTCGAGGAAGGTTGAGATTAGAGGTTGGGAGATTTAAAATGGACACATTGCTTTCAAGTAAGCAATTCCTACATCAAATATCATAGAACCCAAAATAGCTTTCCTATTGTGTTCTGTATAGACCAGATAGTAATTTAGTAAAACACAAAGTCAGGAGCTATTTGTAATGTTTAAATGTCTAACCCGCTTGAGATATAGTAGTATAAAAGACAACACTCTGCCGAACGTGGCCACTCTCTCACTTTGTCCTCAGGGCGTGGAACTACAGATGTGCTAACAAAACAGTAGGCTTTACCTGCTTGGACAGGACCGGGGGAAAATGAGATGGAATGAGTCTAACCTCCTGGTGCCCATAAAGTATGGCTAAGCAAAATGGAACTATCTCCGTGATCAGTGCTGATTCAAAGTCAACAATGAGTTGTGCAAGTTGATAAACTTGAGAAATAACTAACTGGGGGAGGGGAGCAGGGGGGAATCTAATGACCAGAGAAGAATATTATGATGTAAAATGATGGGAGCAACAATATTCCCTTTACACTTTGTTCAAAGAAGTCACAACTTCATGGAGTCAGGAAACCAAATACAATTAATGACGCTGGAGACCCAGGGAGGGTAGTTATGTGACTTGTTCTATCTCATAACCTGAATTTAGAGCTGGGTTCAGAACTCAAGTCTCCTGACTCCAGGCTAGTATTATATCTAATATGTTACTTGTTTTAAATTTGTAATGAGTTGTCATAAATGTCAAAATAAAGTCCCTTTGATTTATTGCAGTGTGATAAGGATAATGGTAGAAGGGAACATGGCTTCCTGGGCAGGAACTGTTGGACTGACTTGTTAAGACATGTTTGTTTTTGCTGCGTCACTCATGTTTTGGTACTTTATGTCCAGATTCAAGTCCAAATTCTTTCACTTACTGAATTACCTAAAACATCGTTCAGGCGGCTGGTGTCAGTCAGCAAGACTGGTCCTGGAACCCTGAACCAATAACTAGAGAGCCATCAGTTCCTGGGAAACGTCTAGCCCATTCTTTTTGTTCTATGATTTCTAAGTGCTGGGCTAAATGCAAAGAACTTTAAAATGATTGCTTTTAATAGCATGATCATTTAAACTTAGTATGTACTGTTAAAAAATCAGTTTATGTTCAAATTTTCAAATATCCTAATAACACACTCTACTTCAATAATACAACTTATATTAACTATCCACCCATAAACAGATCCTTTTACACATATACATAGTTTATGTTTGTTTCCCATATATTTACTTTTACTTCACCCCTCACCCCTCCTAGACTGAACAACACTTGCATTTTTCTTATTCTTCCCTTTTTTCCATGCCTTATAACTTCTTACAAGACCTTGTAGAGTATTTTATATGGTCAGTGTCCAATAAGTGTTGTTTCCTGATTAAATTACTAGGAAATACTCTTCAAATGTGTAAGGGTCATTGCAGGGTCAGGTCTAGGCAGTGCTGATTGTGCTTCCTCTATCGTGGACAAGAAGTAATGCTAAGCGGAAGAACAGAACAGTTAGGTAAATGTCAGGAAATGTTTGTCAGCAGAAAGGTTATTGAAACAGCTCTACAATAATAATTTTTATGAGAGAAGAAGGAGCAAACACTTATTGAGCAAGTATGGTGCACAGAGCTTGTTATGCATTTGATCTTATGGGATGCTCACAGCAAGGTTAGAATGTCATCACTAGCCCCATTTCACAAACAGGAAACTGAAGTTCAGAGAGACTACATCACCTGCCCACATTTGTTTAGCTAGGAAGTAGCTAGAATTCAAACCCAGGTCTTACAACTCCAAAGCCATTACTTTAGGCTGTCTCCAGCTTAGATGATGTTCCCTCATCCAGCGATGCTGTTTGAAGATAGCATTTAGCAATCTTGCAGGGGATTTGGAAGAAAAAAATCTTTTGGTTTGAAAAATGTTTTCTTAGTTTGTGAATGCGTCCCAATTTTTCCCATGTTCCCCTGTAATAATCCCCATGTTTCCAAAAGAAAACTTAACTGCAGTGGTTTTTTTTTTGGTGAGGAAGATTGCCACTGAGCTAACATCTGTGCCAATCTTCCTCTATTTTGCACGTGGGACGCCGCCACAGCATGGCTTAATGAGTGACGTGTAGGTCCACGTTCCGGATCCGAACCCGCAAACCCTGGGCTGCTGAAGCAGAGTGCAAGAACTTAACCACTACGCCACCAGGCCGGCCCCATGACAGTGATTAATCTCTATAAAATGTCTTAATCTCACAAAGCATGTTTTATTTAAGCCAGAAGACAACATCTTCTGGGTCATGATTCTGTAGCACTAGACTGATTTGCATAGAATTTCTTCACAGAGGTGAGCCAATGACCCTCCATACACTGGCAACTCTTTTCCCTTTTCCCAAATGTTTCCTAGCAGGTTTTCCTCACCTTTATGTGTGTATTAAAGATAAACTCAACTTTTTTTAAAATAAATGAAGGACTCCACAGTGGTTATGCAATTTGAAAATGAAAACTTTGTATTATTCTGGACAGGCAAAAGTTTGGGGCTACTAAATCAAAATTACAAAGGAGTTCGAAAGAAGACAAGTTTCCTCACCTGCACAAAAACCACACACTGGCAATATTTCCCAAGATACCTGCATTGGAGGCTGTTAGCAAGAATGCTCTGGATGCTTGCTCGAAGCAAGTAAACTTGAAAGGGAGCAGGATGCAGGATAACAGGTGATAACCCCCAGATTAGAGCACTTTGACACCTGCTAGAATGTGGATGAACCTTGGAAATATTGTGCTAAGTGAATAATCAAGACACAGGACAAATACTGTATGATTCCGCTAATATGAGAATCCTAGAATAGGCAAATTCATAGGGACAGAAAATAAACGAGAGATTACCAGGAGCTAGGAGGAGGGAAGATGGGGAGCTATTGTTTAATGAGTACAGAGCTTCTGTTTGGGACAATGAACAAGTTTTGGAAATGGATGGTGGTGATGGTTGCACACCAATGTGAATGTATTTAATGCCTATGAACTGTACACTTAAAAATGGTTAGGGGCCGGCCCCATGGCTCAGCGGTTAAGTGCGTGCACTCCGCTGCTGGCGGCCCAGGTTCGGATCCTGGGCGCGCACCGACGCACCACTTCTCCGGCCATGCTGAGGCCGCGTCCCACATACAGCAACTAGAGGGATGTGCAGCTATGACATACAACTATCTACTGGGGCTTTGGGGGAAAACATAAATAAACAAAATTATTAAAAAAAAATGGTTAGGATGGTAAATTTTATGTATATTTTACCATAATTAAAAAATCACACAGAAAAAAAGGAAATATACAGATGACTACAGTACATGGCACATAAGCTACAAGGGACATAAAAATGAAGTACATCATGGCACAAATGAGGTAGGGATAAATAATGAATAAAGAAATGGAACCACACACACAAAAGCACCTTGAGATCATACGAATTTGGTTTTGGGAGGAGCATGACAAATAGATTACTGCTCTCACACTAACCTGTGGGCCTTTGTTTTATCAGGGTTCTATGACAATTTAGTATCTTGTCTTCAGTTGACAAAGATCCAGGGCCAAATATATGGTAGAATTAGAGCTGGGGGTGGCCAGGCAGGGATGTGCATATGTAGTAATAGCAGAACTGCCCTGGGAGAGTGAGACAGTGAATAGGGAGGAGGTGGATTCAGGAGCTGCTCCAGGACAACAGGGGTTTTCCTGACCACTCATTCCCCAGGTGCTTATACCTATGGCAAATACCACTGTTTCCACAACCTTAATATATGGCATAATGTCTCAAACCAGATGGACTGCTTCATTTGTCTCTAAGGCAAATTTGGTTCAAAGTTTGAAATGCAGATATTTCTTCTTCCTAGGAGGAATTCTTTTCTTACCTCCCAGATCTTCTCCAGCTGTTCAATGATGTTGGAAACCCCAGGAAACAAAGGTTGACCCTGGAACATTTCAATAAAGATGCAGCCTGCACCCCTAGCAAAGGAAACAAGAGTTAACCCAACACTTTTAAGGAAACCATACATGTGGAACTGAACTACTGGCATTTCTTCTCCCAAGAAATATTTTGAGGATGGTTAAATAGGGGCCACATGCTATTAACAGTCTTGGGCAAAAAAAAAAAAAAAGTCCCTATGTCAAATAAAAATACGAACAGCCTGCAGCCTTTTGTTAAACTGGAAAGACCAGCATTTAGGAACACAGTATAGATAGCAAACATTTAGCTCATTCAAGTTCATTAACTATCAATTTTATGAGAATAGGGGAAAGTACTGAATCTCCAAATTGAACACCTCTTTCACTGAATCTAAGATGCTATCATTGTAAGAGGCACCATTATTGTATGTACTATTAAGAAAAAAAAAAACTGCAGGTTAAACTGTGACATGATCAGAATGTTTCTTTTATACTTCTTGGAAAGGCTGTTATAAAATTAATGAGACAGATTATTTTATCATATATCATACTGGTACGTGCAAAAAATGAAACATTAAGTGAAAAAGATTGGTTTAAGTGTTCCTCAAACTTTTTCACATTCAGCATTTGACTCAGACTCTTTGATGTCTGGGTTTATCCACGGCATCCTCCTCTGTGTCAGGAGTTTGATGATGTAGCATTTTGTAAAATAATAGAGGGTCATCGGTGCTGGGCTCCTAGCTGACCTTGCAATTATGAAGAGTAAGCCTACTTCTGACTCCTGCTTAGAGAATGTCTGATCACTCCTTCTCCGCAACCATTTGGTTCCTAGGGGTTAAAAAGAGAAAACAAAGCTCTCCTTTCTGCAAGACTTTCTTCCAACTCACTGACACCCATTCTATAAGTTTCGATGCTGGCATGTTTGATGTTCCCACGTGCAATGGTAACTTCAGTCACAGCTGCAGCCCGCTGACGGCTATTGTAAGACGCATCCTGATTTAACAGAGAATGTACATCTTAAAATAGGTTAAATAGGGTGAAATATAAATTCTCTTTCCTGTGTAGTCAAACTGGAAGGTAATTACTGAGAGACAGTAAAGGGTAAGATTCATTTGCTGATAATGCACATTTTTATTCTTCTAAGTCTTTGAGTGATGAAAATGGTTCAGGTGACCCATTACAGAGATCACCCCCCCCCCCCGGTTCAATACTTTGACTCCAAATCTCTTTCCCCATAACACATAATTTTGCAAACTCCCTTAATCATCTTGACGTTTTTTTTGTGTGGCTTGATAAAGAAGGATATTTAAGGAAAACATTTTATTATAGATCATCATATTACTAAAGATTTATTTATCAAATTCATTTTAAATATGGTCTTTAATATTATTCATATGTACTTTTACATATGATAAATGTTTACTTTTTCCATCTGTCTATAGACATATGCTATTTAATTTACTTTAAATTGATTGTGTAGGAGAAAGTAGATTTCTTGATAAACAAGTTTAAGAATAATTTTTATCTTGTGTCTGGTTTGGGGAGAGAATATATATTTTTATTTTTTATTTTTATTTTTATTTTTTTTGTGAGGAAGATCAGCCCTGAGCTAACATCCTTGCTAATCCTCCTCTTTTTGCTGAGGAAGACCGGCTCTGAGCTAATATCTATTGCCAATCCTCCTCCTTTTTTTTTTTTTTCCCCAAAGCCCCCCAGTAGATAGTTGTACGTCATAGTTGCACACCCTTCCAGTTGCCCTATGCGGGACGCGGCCTCAGCATGGCTGGAGAAGCGGTGCGTCGGTGCGCGCCCGGGATCCAAACCTGGGCCGCCAGTAGCAGAGCACGTGCACTTAACCGCTAAGCCACGGGGCCGGCCTGAGAATATATATTTTTAAAAAGATTGAAATTTAACTATATCTTATCATGTCAAAAGAGACAAAAACTGTTTTCATGTCCTATTAAGTTGGTTTGCATTTAAAATAAACTGGTTTGTTCTTAGAATTTTTATATGTATAAATAAAAGATATCAGACCGAGTTTTGCGAGCAGTTTTTCTCCCCCCCTCAAACAACAGGTTGTTTTTATCCCCAATTTGAAAAAAGCCGATTTGGATATAATGGCCAGTATATTTACTTTTTACTGATTTTTCATGTACAAGAGACATCTTAAAGACGCAAGAATTTTGATGAGACAAATGTAACTTAAGAATCTAGTGAATAATATCTTGAAGTGAATTTTTAGAATTATTGTCATTTTAAAGCTCTTCATGAACTTGTATTTAAATATCCATGTTCTTTTTGCCTCCTGTCTTTAAAGCAATAGATGCAAAAGGTATAAATGAAACAACATATGGAAGAGAATAAAAGCAATGGAAACTGTCAAATGATTAACAACCTTCCTGGTTGCTAGCAATGGTCAACTATGAGATAAGCCAGCTGAGAAACTGAGTTGGTGAATACCGTCAACTGGCCTCTACGCACTGCCCCTCACGCTTTCTCTGTATGTACTTGAAAGGTCTCACATCATTTCATATATATATATACGCACACACATATATGTATGTATGTACATGTGTATATAAAACATATATGTAATTGCTTTATTAACTGATATAAAATAGAAATGGAAATGTCTTGGTTTTTGAAGACTTGAACCAAGTCTCCATCCAGTACCCTAACACCTTCCAGAAACTCCAGGGCCTCACAAACCACTAGAAGGCCTGAGGGCATTTTAAACAATATTCAAAACCATAGTCGTTGCTAGGTTTAAGCCTGTAGCCCACTTTTTTTCCTCCTCTCAAAAGGAAAGGAGCCCAGAAAAAGCTTGTTGCCTTTTCCTGTCTTTTCATACTAGCAGCTGTAGGGAACCAAGAAGGCAGTCCTTTCCTTACGCAGTTTCTTAGTGTCCTTCACCTTCTACTCCCCTAGGAGAGTGTACACAATTATGTAAAATATACTGGAGAAAGCTGGGCATTAAGGCTATTATGCAAGTTCTACAAAGTAGTACAAGATGTTTGTGTTATGGAATAAAATGCTAATATCTGGCTGAAATTCCTAATTTGCACTTGTATGGTTGGTGCCTACATGCACACACACAGAAGACAAACAAAATTCCTAAATCCATTATAATTCAGTATCTGGAATATCCATAAATACCATAAATATCAATGCATTGGTAAGAAAATAAGTCTATGCACCTTAACTTTGAAAGATGAAAGATGTTTTCTAGGTGCAAACATTGTTCTTTAAAAACTGTACAATTCATCTTTCTATTGTTTTCATTTATTCTTCAGAACTGTTTTATTTTTTATTTGCTTTGTAAAAAAAAGTCATGCGGCTTTCATATTTTTTATTTGCTTCTTAAACAAGTTGCGTGGCTATCATCTATTTTACTCACCCCAGACTAGCCTTAAGCAAACATTAAATATTCTGAACATTCAGGTCCAGATAGGGAACCAGCTACTATTCCCTTTTATTCCTCTGTTTTGTTCTTAAATCTTCATTCCTGTGGCTCTTCTTACTCTACACGTCTTTAGGCTTCTCAGAGGGTTTCTGCTCTATGGAGATCCCCTTGGGGCAACTCATGCAGATAAAGGGGAACTTCACACGCAGGGGAAAAAAGACCTGGTAGCATCAAACCATGATGATTGCCTTCCAGAAAGGAGAGATGCACTGGGTCATTTTATTGCTCCAACTGTGGTCTTCAGTCAAGTTAGAGGAAACAGCTTATGTGTTTTCTGCATTTTCTGGCTCTCTTCCTAAACTTTGCTCTATTCTGAGCATGAACAAATTCTTCTATAAGAGAGAAAAGGATTCCTCAAATTCCTTAGGCAATTTCTGGGGAAATAAACTATAAGAGAGAAAAGGATTCCTCAAATTCCTTAGGCAATTTCTGGGGAAATAAACTATCTCAGGAGTTTTAGGTTTTTGGAGGTGCAAGAAGCACATAAAAATGTTGGGAGAAATGAATTAGTTTTTTGTTTTTCGCTGTTGAAGTTAATGCAGAACAACATACTGTATGGCAGGGACACGGTACTTCCACTTGCTTTTCCCAGAGCCACTCTTTATATTTGGAAGTTTGCAGCAAGAAATCTAACTGCAAAGGATCTTTCAGGCAGAGACAACTTGTTGTAGTCCTAAAACTAGCAGCTGCCTGAAGTCGGTTTTGAATAGAGGACTTGTGTTCCAAAATAAATCTCTCCTTATTTTATTTATTTTTCAATTATTTTACTGAGGTCATATTGGTTTATAACTGTGTAATTTCAGGTGTATATTATTGTATATCAGTTTCTGTGTAGAGTGCATCACGCTTACCACCAATAGTCTAATTTTTATCTGTCACCATACATATGTGCCCCTTTACCCCTTTCGCCCACCAACCCCCATCCCCTTCCCCTCTGGTAACCACTAATCTGTTCTCTTTATCCATGAGTTTATCTTCCACATATGAGTGAAATCATACGGTGTTTGCCTTTCTCTGTCTGGCTAATTTTGCTTAACATTATACCCTCACGGTCCATCCATGTTGCTGCAAATGGGATGATTTTTGTCTTTTTTTTTAATGGCTGAGTAGTATTCCATTGCACATATATACCACACCTTCTTTATCCATTCATCAGTTGATGGGCACTTGGGTTTCTTCCACGTCTTGGCTATTGTGAATAGAACATAGGAGTACATAAACCTCTTCAAATTGTTGATTTCATGTTCTTTGGATAAATACCCAGTAGTGGGATAGTTGGATCACATGGTATTTCTATTTTTAATTTTTTGAGAAATCTCCATACTGTTTTCCATAGTGGCTACACCAGTTTGCATTCCCACCAGCAGTGTATGAGGGTTCCCTTTTCTCCACATCCTCTCCAACATTTGTTATTTTTTGTCTTGGTAATTATAGCCATTCTGACAGGTGTAAGGCGATATCTCATTGTAGTTTTGATTTGCATTTCCCTAATGATTAGCGATGTTGAACGTCTTCTCATGTGCCTGTTGGCCATCTGTATATCTTCTTTGGAAAAATGTCTGTTCGTATCCTTTGCCCATTTTTTGATCAGGTTGTT